AATATATTAAATTATTTTTTTTATAAAAATTTTTAATATATTAATATCAAAAATATAAAAAAATTATTTTAAAAATATTATAAATCACAATCTCAAACACCCGGTTAGCATGTTCTGTGCTGCAATAAATTTTAGTTTGCGATTTGAGAAAATAAGTTTAAATAAAAAATTTTAATTATAGTTTTTAAAAAATAAATTTATATATATAGTTAAAATTACTATGAGATAATTTTTTTCTTATAAAATAAATAAAAAACATATTATTCTAAGAATTAAGTTTTAAAATATAATTATGTAGAAAGCCAATAAATAATAAATACAATCCATTTAGCTATTATTTTTTCTTTTATGATAAGATAAAAGGCAGAAACGAACGAGCTACCAAACGGTCAAGATTTGGCTTCTGGCTTTGCGCAAGAGAGTGAAAAATCTACGAGTACTCGAAGAAAGCACACGAATCCAGGATAAATAGGAACTCTAGCTTGGGTCTATTCCCAGCGTGGGTCCCATGATAAATCGGCAATGTGTCCTATTTATGATGGGATTGCCTCAAATCCGACGGTCCACGTATTCTGTTTGTTTTGAGTATGATGCCATGTAGCCTGGTGATGGTCGTGGTGGGGGTATATTCAACGTGGGGTCAATGTACAGTTGTTTCGTTTGGGGATGGATGGGTGATTCATTGCCGTTGTAGTAATACAGTATTAAATGCATCAAATTAAGGGGGTTGAGTCTAACATGAGCCCCATGGCACAAGGGGCATAACCTGCGCACTTCTCCACGACCAGACCACCCTAGAAGGAAATCCTGAGGTAAAAAACAATTTGTTTTTTTTTCCAGACTGTCTCTCGGGCCACGCGCCATTCTTGGCACGTTCATTGCACGAGCGCAATAACTTTTTTTTTTTTAGATTAATGTGGGTGTCTGGGCCAGCTTGTGCGCACCACGACTAATCCCACAGGCCATGAAGTTAACGACCATGTAAGCCTCCAGTGGCCATCATATGAGCAAACCAAGGACTCGAACCTGAGACCACAGAGAGAGCAAACCTCTTGATTCCAAGTCTTTACCACTTGGCCACCACCTAGATGGTTGCAATAACTTTGATATTACCGGACAGGTAGAGTTTCCTCGTTTGCCTTGATTCTCACATGGTTTTTTTTTTTAATATAAAAAAATAATATATGCATAAAAATTCTCAACTGATTTTTGTTTCTCCTTCCCTGTTCTTGTGAACTACAAAGTTAGAGAGCAGAGAGTTTAAATTAAGAAACGAGTGAATTTTTAAGATAGTCTTGGGATTTTGGTTAGCATGCTAGAGATGGAGATATTGTATTAGCAAGTTCGATGGACTTGAGGTAGCTAGCAAGGATTAAAAAGCATGAAACTTCCTTTGTGTATCATGCCTTGCGTTGATGATGCTTTATCATCAATGGAATGGAACTTAATTAATATATATATAGGACGTGTTTTTTTTTTATCATCAAATATAGTTTATTATTGATTGTTATATTAAAATTACCATTATATCTTTGGGTGGAAGAAATAAGAGCCTTTATGGTGGGGTAATTTAGTCCTTTTAAATGACCCATTGAATATTATACTAATTTTTTCAAAAACATTGCACAAAAAAATAATGTATCCACCTCTAAAATGTTTATTTTATTTTTTCAAAATATTTAAAGCAGTTAAATTACTTATTTACTCCTTAGATGAAACAAATAAGAGTTCTTAACCAAGAGATATTTTGGTTTTTATCTTTTTAAAATGCAGTGAAAATACATTTTTATCATTACCAAAGAAAAGAAAAAAAAACAAGGCATGTGTTGATTTTATTTTTTTGTAATTTCTATGATCATGAATGGTGTTCTAGTATTTTTTAATTAAAAAAATATTTTTTATTAACAAAAGTTAATGGCCAAACATGTCCTTTCACTATGTTTTTGGAAACACCACCATTTTTTTTTTCTTGTAGATATGGCTTGTGATGATAATTGATGGTTGATTTGTTACTAATGGTTATTTTTATTTTTTTTCCTTCTTTTAAGGAAAATACATGTTTATTATCTTTTCTTTTGGTTTTTTTTATTTTAGTCTTTATGTCTTTTGATTTTTTATTTTTATCCTTTGCTTTTTCATAAAAGTTTTTTATATTTTCAATTTAGCTCTGAAATTATAATTTATCATATATTATTTTTTATCTTTTATTTTTTCCTTGCCTTTTTTGTTAAAGTTAATTGGTTTTCAATTTTATCATTCAAATAAAGTTCATGTTTTTTTCTTAATCTAGCCCTTATTCTTTTTATTTCTTTTTCTTTTTGTTGGAGTTTTTTTCAATTTAACCCTCCAATTTAAATTTTTTTAATGCCGTTTAATTTATTTTTTTATTTAAATTTTTACCCTCATTCTTTTAATTATAATTTTTGGGTGATAGACTTTCTTTTTCAATTTCATCATTTAGTGTTTGGTTTGTTAGAGATTGAACTTATGATTTTTTATTTGTGGTGCTTCTGATCTAATAACATGGATCACAAGTATAAAAAGTCAATGCGATTATGCATAATTTTTTTTAATCATTTTTTTATGATTTTATCATTCTATTTTATTTTATATTAAAAAAATTTGTTTTATGTTTATATTTTGTTTCTTTTCTATCAGTTTATCCTAATTTCATGAACCATACCACAAGTTTTGCAAGCCTATTTTGAATAGAGGTTTTTTTTAAAAAATTATTTTTTTGTATTTATTTTTTTAATATTTTTTAAATAATATTTTTAATATATCTAATCTAGCATAATATATTTTTTCATTTTATTTTATTCAATTAGTTTTATATGTGTTTTTATTTTTATTATCTTTTATTGATTTTAATAAACAAATTTAGTATACATAAATGAGTAAATGTCTTAGTTTATGGGATCAAATATATTAATTTATATCTATCTATTAATTTTTTTAATTTATCTTTTAATCAGTATTAATAATATTTTTTTGTTTATTTTTTATGGAATATAATTTGTACTATGTTTCCAAACAGTGTCTAATAAAAAATTAAAAGTTCGATTCGAAACAAGAGGAAATAAATAAAAAAAGATAATTTATTATTTAATTTGATTTGAAATTTTAGGTTCACTTTCGATGTAAAGTGTGGTAGATATATTTAAATATTAGACTAGTAAATAATGATATTATTTTATCTTAATAAAGTAGGTTAAATATAAAAATGTTTTTAATTAAAATCTAGAATTTATATCCATTTAAATTTATAAGTATGTAAAATAATAAATTATAATAAATATAATATCAACACAAATATAATATTAGCATGGATACTAAAGTATACATCCAAACTTACAAACACAAATATAATACTAGCATGAATACTAAAATATACATCCAAACTTATAATTAGTACTAATTTAAAGCCTTAACATACATACTAATAATAAATACACACACACACACACACATTTAGATTAAAATAAAAAAGAGTATTTATTTGTTGAAGTACTTTAAAGTAATAAAAACTCTTGTTGTTGTCAATAATAAATCATTTGTCCTTAAAACTTTATTGCTTTTTACCTATGCAACTAAAATGTTTGAAATATATCTCTAAATATTTCAACACTATCACCTTGATTTAGATGCATTTCTAAACAAATTTTTGAAACTCAAATATCTTTAATAAAATAAATTTAAACTCTTAATATGAGAGGATAAATCAAAGCATAAAACTAAAAATAAGGTGATAAAGAGCATGTAAAATCTAAAAATTTAAAGTTAAAAACTCTTCATTCACCATTTTTTTATAATAAGTTTTAAAAGCTAAAAAGTTGAAGAATTTATTTCCACCATTATCAATTATTAATAAGCCACCATAAATTAAGAATTAAATATAAAAAAAAATTAAAAGTTATTTGAGATTAATTTTTCATTCACCTATAATTTATTTATTTATTTAAAATAAATTTTCATGAAGAACTACTAGATAAAAACCTTTATAAATGAGTTAAACATTGAGTTAAAGGTAAAGGTTTGGATTAGAGTGTTGGAAACTCAATCAATTTGATACATCATGTAAAAAAAAGTTCTTCTTCCGTGTACATAAATCATGATTTTCATGTATTTTATAATATATATTGTTATGATTCATCAACTCTTCTAAAATAATATTAAATATTCTCACAAAATTAAAAGTTAAATAAGAAGAAATAAGCATATAGCAAGGTGATAGGCTCAGCCGCTCTATCAAATACTTGCTAGAACTAATTTGACATTGTTTATATCCAATCTAATTAGATTAGAAATAGAGGCAAGATTTAATGTGATTTTTTTTAAATTTATATAGAGTTAATTTACACACATTTCAATTAATTTCAATAAATTCTAAAATTAAAAATTAAGTAAATCTTTAATAATTTAACATGATTTTATTTAAACAAAGTGTGATACAAAGATCCACTCTTATTCAAGTTAAATTTTTATTTGATTTTTTGAATTTAATTATAGCTTGTATTGATGATGCATTGTAAAATGCAATTTAATTATATATTGTATTTATGATGTTTTGGCGTGTTTTTATAAATAATAAATTCAAAGCACAGCTATATTTAAACAGTATTTGTTTATAAGATGCATTGTGCCGTGTTTCGTTGTATAAAATATGTAATATATTTTTTTAATTAATATAAATATTTATGCTAATTTTTAATAATCCTAAAATAAATTTAAAACCTCACAAGTTAAATAATACATTTATTTTTATGAGTTGCGTCGCATCGCATCTTATCTTTTAAACAAACAGACTGTATATACTCGTATCAAAGTGCGCCTCAATTTCCATCATATCTCCGATCAAGTAAAAACAAATTAAAAGGGAATTATGGGGTGAAGGATCTTGCGTAAAAGAAATAGGAATGGAGACGAGATAAAAAAAAGAAAAAAGAAAAAAGAAAAAAGAAAAAAGAAGGAGGAAAAAAGAAAAAAGAAAAAAGAAAACACCTACTGCTTAAGAGAGAGGGGGAGAGAGAGAGAAGGATTCTCTTATGCTGGTTAGAGAGAGAGGAGGAGGAAGAGGGCTAGAGTCCAGTCAGAGAGCGAGAGAAGGCAAGGCAGGCCATCAAGTGATGGAACCTGTCTCGTGAAGTAGCAGGTGAGGTGAAGCCACAAAATATAAGAGAAGAGAAGAAAAGAGAAGCTTTCTCCTCTCCATCTCTCTCTCCCTGCAAAAACCAAACAGGCAGCTCCCCCTCAAACTCTCCCGTTCCTTTTATATATCACGAGATCCCCCCATCTCCTTCTTTTTTTCTTTCCTTTTCCTCTCATGTCTTTCTTTGTTTTCCAACACTAATCTCCATTCGCTCACATTTCTAACATCATCACAAACCCAGTTACATAGACAACTCTATTTAAGAAGAGAATAAAAAAGAACTACTCTTGTTTTTGGTTTTAGTTAGAAGAATTACTATACAAAAACATGCCGCAATCAGCGAAACCCTCCATTGGAGGAAATTTGGACCTCAGCTCACTAACTGATCAACTCCGTGACTCACTCTCTTCACTCGAAGCCAACAAGCCTGATTTTCGTGAACTCGATCTGGGCTCTCCCGTTTCACCTCTCCGAACTCGAGGTGGGCTCACCACCAAAACCACCGCCACAACCACAACGACGACCACCACCTCCTCCAGCTCCAGCTCCTCCGGATCCGCATCCGGTGCCCAAAACCCACTTCACAAACCCAACAATAACAACCACTCAGGAGAGTTATCGAACTCGAGTGAAAGCAGCCCCACGACTAGCGCCAAGAAGGGTCAACCGGGTCATTCTAGATCCGACTCTTTAACTTACTCAGGTCAAACTGGCAGCCAGAGTGCTGTAAACTCTCCGGTAACTGTTAATGTGTTGCCTACCGGTAACATCTGTCCGTCGGGCAGGATCTTGAAGACAGGCATGGGAATGGTGAATCGGAGTGCGAAACCGGATGTTTTAGGATCCGGGACTGCGAATTATGGTCACGGCAGCATAATGCGGGGCGGGGGGAGCGCAAAATGTGCTAGCTCTGATGTTGTTAATACAGCATAGAGGAATGCTTGGAATATGCGTGGAGGGAGTGTGGATCCGGAGGAGGTGAAGAAGGCTGGAAATGAGATGTATAAAAAAGGGTGTTTTGCGGAGGCGCTGGGATTGTATGATAAGGCTATTGCTTTAGCACCAGGGAATGCTGCTTACAGGAGTAATAGGGCGGCTGCGTTGATGGGATTGGGAAGAGTTGTGGAGGCTGTGAAAGAGGGTGAGGAGGCTGTTCGGCTGGATCCTAATTATTGGAGAGCACATCAGAGGTTGGGGGCTTTGTTAATTAGGTGAGTTTGTTGATGGGGGCTTGATTTTATCTTTTCATGGGCTGTTTTCTGTGGTGGGGTTCTTGTTTTTTTGGAGGATTTTGTGAGTTTTAGCAGTGATTTGATCTGCATTGCTGCGATACTTAACTGTTTGTTATTAGATTTCTGAAATGAGGTTCAAAGTTTTGTTCTTTCTTGTTGATTTGGACAATTCGAATGACTCAAGAGAGTTTGGTGAACCATGACAACGACGACAACCTTAAGTCTAGATTGATTGAGTTCTAAGTCGTGTTGATGGAGTTTTAATCTTTATGTATCATTTAGTTTATGATTGCTGAGTTTGTGAGGAATTTGTGAGCATTTAGTTGGTGGATGTGATGTTTGTCTTCTTATGATCTGTATCAGTAGTTATGTTTTAATTTGTATTGATTAGGATTTGGTAGGTTGGTGAAAGTGTGGACAAATTCAATTTTCTTAGATGCTTGGTGATTGCATTACAGCTTCTAAATGTTTTGAGAACTAAATGAGTTGCGGTGGATTGTAGTGAGTTATTCTAATTTCTAATGTGTTAATCCACATGGTGAGAATAGTTGATCGATTACCAAAGCTGGTTCATTTGTTTGCATTTGCCTTCTGTGTTTGTTATGGCCGTTGACACTATTTTTGTGTTGTTTTTTTCTCCTTGGATTTAAGATGCTTTAATTTTGTCTTAACATGCTATCAATCCTGCTGCATTTGCTGGTTCTAGTATGGTTGGATGCACCTAAACATGCTATTTCTAAGAATGTTGCGTTAATGTGTTTTTTCTGTATTGATGACCTTGAAACTTAGCTGTGGTTGCTTTGGCTTCTAGCTTGCTGCTTATCTAAACAATTTCCACCATGCCTTGATTTTCTTACACTCTTCAAATTAAGTAGTCTTGAAATGCTTAAACCATTCGAATCATCCTAGAGCCAATAATACTTCCTTTGGAATTATTTCCTTTCATGTTCTGCAGCTCTGTCTTGAACCATTTGTAATAAATTCAATCCATCTATTGTGGACGTGTACTTTTCTTTTTTGGTAATGTTTTTTACTGTGTTCTATAATTTTAACGGAGCTCTAATTTTCTATTTATTTCCCCAACAGTTTGCTGCAAATAGTTTGATTTTTGATGCTGGGACAGCAAGCATTGAACTTGATTTCATTGCAGGTTAGGACAGGTTGATAGTGCTAAGAAGCACCTATGCTTCCCAGGGCAGCATCCAGATTCTGCCGAGTTGCATAAGTTGCAATTAGTAGAGAAACATCTTAATAAATGTTCAGATGCCCGGAAGGTTAATGATTGGAAAGGTGCATTAAGGGAAGCTGATGCTGCTATTGCTGCTGGAGCTGATTATTGCCTCCAGGTAAAATGGCTATCTGCACTCTTACTGTGTAAAATTGGCAAAATTGATATGGAGAGTAAATTAACAAATGTCTGAACTGGTTCAAATTGAATTTACAGCTCTTTATGTGTAGAACTGAAGCTCTTTTGAAGCTCCACCAACTTGAAGATGCTCAATATTGCTTATCAAAAGTTCCAAAACTAGAATCATTTGCCAACTACTCTCAGACTAGATTTTTTGGGATGCTTTCTGAAGCTTACCCTTTCTTGGTTCGAGCACAGATTGAGATGGCTTTAGGAAGGTGAGTTCATAATTTCAAACCACTACAAGATATTTGGTAAACATACAATTTTGGAGAGCTTGATAATGGATGATGGATGCCTTGCAGGTTTGAGAATGGAGTTGCAGCTGCTGAGAAAGCTGGACAGATTGATCCACGAAATGTTGAAGTAGCAGTGCTGCTTAACAATGTGCGATTAGTAGCCAGAGCTCGTATCCGTGGCAATGATCTCTTCAAATCAGAAAGGTTCACTGAAGCCTGCTCAGCATATGGGGAAGGCCTTAGGCTTGATCCTTCAAACTCTGTTCTTTATTGCAACAGAGCAGCATGTTGGTTTAAGCGTGGACTGTGGGAGAGATCCATTGATGACTGCAATCAAGCTTTAAGTATCCAACCTAACTACACAAAAGCACTTCTTAGAAGAGCTGCCTCAAACAGCAAGGTAAAATCTCCTCGAAAGACTTGGCTTTTATGTATAATTTGCTCCTCAATGTGCTAGCCTACTCTGGCTCATATATTTTGCACACTCCAGATTGATGTGCTTTTGTAAACTGCAGTTAGAAAGGTGGGCTGATGCTGTGAGAGATTATGAGGTTTTGAGGAGGGAACTTCCAGATGACAATGGAGTTGCTGAATCTCTGTTTCATGCTCAAGTCGCATTGAAGAAATCTCGTGGAGAAGAAGTGTATAATATGAAGTTTGGTGGTGGAGTAGAGGAAGTCTTGGGCCTTGAACAGTTTAGAGCTGCGATATCATTACCAGGCAAGCCTTACCTCCTACATTCTGAAAATTCATTTTTTCTTTGCATGCTTCTCTCTCCCATTTCTAGAGTTCCAAAATTCAAATGGAAATTGAATTTGTGTTATACAGGTGTTTCTGTGGTTCATTTCAAATCCTCCTCTAATGTGCACTGCAAGCAATTATCTCCGTTTGTGGATACATTATGTGTTCGGTATCCATCTCTAAACTTTCTCAAGGTAAATTACTAGCTCAATAATCCCAGTTGTACTAAGCTTTGGGATAGTTCCTGACCTTAACTTGTTTCAGAAATGAAATAAACAAGTGTTTTTCTTAATTTGCATACATCTGCTTGGTGTTTTTGTTAAAGGTGGATGTAGAGGAGAATTCAGCAACTGCAAATGCTGAGAATGTGAGGATTGTTCCAACATTCAAGATATACAAAAACGGTAACCGAGTGAAGGAGATTGTCTGCCCCAGTCATGATATGTTGGAACATTCGGTGAGGCATTACAGCTTTTAGAACTCATGATTGTACTTGTACCATTACTCTCCCAGTTTTTTACATCTACTTGCTACGCAAACCCCCTGTTAGATGGGACCTCCTCACTGCCCTTCCAGTCTTTCTCCCACCATATAAGGACTTACCAGATACTTGTGACATAAACCTTCCAGTCTCTTTCTCCCACCATATAAGGACTACCATCTACCTATGACATAAATCAGAGCTACATAATAATCCTATTAGCGGCCAATGCCAGAAGGAACCCAGAGAGATAGCTCAGTTCACCTTTTGCTGTTTTAATTTATTCATTCATTCCTCATTGCTCTGCAGTTTCATGTTCTTCCTCCGGTCTCTCTCTCTTGTTATTCTTTCTTTTCATCTTCTTATCACTTTTTTGTTCTCTTGTAGACCAGCCTGTTCTTGTACCCCCATTTCCATTTAGATGAAAAGGAGGAAAGAAGAGAGAGAGAGAGAGAGAGAATGAGAGAATGAGAGAAATGTGTACAATAGAGAGAGAGAGAGAGAGAGAGAGAGAGAGAGAGAGAGAATGAGAGAATGAGAGAAATGTGTACAATTGATTAAGTTGTCTCCTTCTTCATAGAGAGAGAGGGAGGGGGGCTGGCAGGCTGGTAGAGGAGGATCTTGTACATTTTATGTGATATATACAGAAACATTGGGAGGGAGATTGGATGCCTGGTGGGTAGTTATTGGGTTAGTGAAAGAAGGATGAATATGTTGTTTATTAATATTGTTACTTTTTCCAGCCATTTTATCAATCAATAAAAATTTCTCCCATTTTTTCCCCTCCACCCTCAACATTTCATTTTCTCATGTTATATACATTTGCACCTGACGCTCGTTCAGGGCATCTGAGTGATTTAAACAGTGCATGTGCTTATTAATTAAGGGGTGGTTTTCTTTTTCTCTCATGAAGGAGCGGATTTAGGTGGTTGAGTGTTGATAGAATTCACTGCTCCCATCCTTGAGAGGCATTTGGCCTCTTCAAGACGATGGGGCGTGGTGTTGTGGCCCTTGTGGGGTTATGGCAGGGGGTCTGTGAAGGACTGGGGCGTGGTGTTGTGGCCCTTGTGGGGTTATGGCAGGTGTTCTGTGAAGGACTTTGTGTAAACACTCTGTCAAAGAAACTTAAGCACTTGAATAGCCGTAGTTTTTAACAATCTCTGCACTGATTCTTCCATTCTAAGCCACATTGTGTTTGTATCTCTAGAGCTCTCAAATTAAGTTCACTACTTTGTGTATCTTTGGTTTAGTGGCACCATCTTTTGATGCTAGACAACATTATCACAAGACTTTTGATGTTGCCCTAAAATGGGGGCATATAATGGCAGGGAGTCCCCTCTTAACAAGGGTTCTTAGCCATCCACATGTTGCGCATTCAAGTTATTGCCATAACTATCCATGAACACATTCCTCACCACCTCTAACGCCCCTCCCCCCACCACCAAAAAAGTCCAAAAAGTGCAAATGGGGTCGGTGCTAACTTATGGCGACGGCACGCACCGTCCTAGTTCGATGCGTGGGCCTTTGTCAGCTTGTGGCCACGTGTATGTGTGTCCTTTGTCTTTTAGTATTTTTTTTCCCCTTCTTAATTGCTTAAAAGAAGATGAAAATGAATGCCGTCGTTTATGGAGCTGTGAGGGCAGTATGGGAAAGTGAAGTTGAATAGGTGGTCATGAGCTACGTGCGTGAGTTGCGCACTGATACAGAAAGATGTGTTTCGAAATAATTGCATTTTTTAGAAAATAAATTAAAGTAATATTTTTTATTTTTTTAAAATTTATTTTTATATTAGCATATTAAGATAATCTATAAACATTAAATTTTAAAAAATTAAAAAATGTAATTTTTAGCATGGCTGCAACGCGCATAATTGAGTTGGGGTTATTTATTGGTGTGGGGTTAGTGGAACAAAGCTCTTGATTAGGAGAGGACAAATCAGGAAAGTAGTGGTGTACGTGTCATTATCCACCTTTAATTAGGACTCTAAATGGTCCTCATCTGTAACACGCTAGCAAGATCCAAACGTACGTACAGGTTGTCAGATTCTTTTGTTCAGATATTGTCACGTTGCTCTTTACGAGTTTTTTTTTTTTCCTAGCATCCTAAAAGAAATATATAGTAAAATAAAATAATATAAAAAATATTTTAAAAATTAATAATTTAAAGAGTAACCTGTATCATTTGCTGACTTTTAAACTATTAGTTATAAAAAATAATAGTTTAAAATATTAATTCCTAATGTATAATTCTAATTTAAATATAAAAATAATTTAATTTTAAATTATACAATATAAATATAATATCAAGCATCTAAATATAATTTTAAAATTTAAAATAATTTTAAATTTTTAAAATTCAAGATTAAAAAGAACTTTAATTTAAAAAAACCTAAATATTAAAAAAGTAAAAGGTTTTAATACAAAAAAATATAAATCAATCATTATTTTCATTGTTAACATAGAAATAAAAATTTTGGTATTGTGGTGGTATATAAAAAAATTATACATTAAACATTCTAATTAATAATTTTTTTCATCTTTTAATATCAAAACAAATAGATATTTTTATAGTATCTTAACTTAAATTCTTTATTAAAAAGGTTTGTTCTTTACTTATTTTGATTTCATCAAGGTTAATGAGATTTAAATTTTTTTATTTGATTAAAATTTCTATAAAATACAGACATGTAAAAAAAGAAATCAATATAAATCATATTTATTAATAAAAAATAATATTATTGTTGATGAAAATAATAATAATTATTTTATTTTAGCTTTAGGTCAACCTACTTTATTTTTAGATAATAAATTTTTATCAGAAAAGAAACTAATAAAGTAAATCTGGAACCATTCAAAATCTTGAGCAAGATGAACTTTATTTAATCTTGAAGAGGAAGAAAATAGAATTGATTACCTGTTTATCCCCACAATACAAGAAGAAGCCGTTAACTAGAAAATCGAAGGTCTAAATATATCATTTAACTCAACTTCTGGGATGACAATGAATACTGAAAAATTATTTGCGTAAATGTTTCTTGAACTTATATAACGAACATTTTGAATTTCTTTTTCCATAACCGGGATCTCTTTGTTTTTTCTAAGAAACGTCACGTCAGTGTTGAAAACGAGAGAGAGAGAGAGAGAGAGTGGTGGAGACGGAGAAAGATGGCGGCCGTATGTAAAGTAAATGGAGTGGCATCCCTTTTATCAATTTAACCATAAGCACCGACATTAATTCGACAGTGAAGGGGGGCGGACGCGGGTAAAATAGAAACGCTAAAAGCAAAGCGCGTGGGCTAACTCAGGCACATCTAAATAAAAAGTTGAAAAATAAAAGCAGAAAAGCAGAGGAGAGAATGGAAAGCGAAAAGGAGATGTGGAAAGGGCAGACTGCTAGATCAGATAGCAATCAGCAATAGGAAGAGCATCCTAATGGTTTCTGAATCGTGCCGTGCCATGCCGCGCCGCTATTACAGCGCTACTGTACTGGAGTAGTCGTGAGGACTGGTGGATTCAGTTGAGGAGGTGGTGCATGCACCGCAGTTGGGGAGGTGCTTCCTTCTCTTTTACCTGTCTGAAAGGAACATGAAAGTAGATTTTGTCAAATTCAGGCGGACATGTCCTCGGGATAACATGTAACCAAGGAAAACACCTATTTGATAGACCTCCAAGCAGAAGCACTGCAGTAGCGCTTGCTTGCTTAAGGATTAGGCCTTCCCTTCCTAGTAAATGGGAGCATGTCTTTTAACAAAACAAATTGAATCGAGTCATTAGAAAAATCAATGTAATAATCTCCTTCAAAAAAGTAACAGGCCTGCAAATGCCCAAAATTGCTTAGGCTTTGAACTGACACTGTTCACATCGAGGCCCACTCACTCCATGTTCAATTTGAAAGAGGGGGGAGGGAAATTCCGTTACTCACAAGGGCAGGAGCTTATCATATTCCTCTCTCATATATATATATATATATATATATATTCAAAGGCGCAAGAGAGGAATTCAAGAAGAAGAAAGAAAGGAATGGGGATAAAACGACTTGAATTAAAGAAGATAGTGAATGATAGATACATGCTTCGCTACTCTCTCTAAAAGAAGAACTAGTCTTTTCAAAGAAAGCCCACGAATTGTCTTCTTTGTGACCTATGCCAAACCTCTCCTTTTGTTCTCTTCCAACAAGACATTCCTTACACCTTTGGCTTTCGCTTGACTTGGTCGCTTAAATATTCCCAAATGATAATTCCATGAGTGAAGATATTTATAGAATAAACCTACATCCAGGAATACTATAATGGAGAAATAAGTTGTCTAACCTAGCAAGCCAGACTATCAAATATGATGGTTAAAGGAGGATGAGGGAAAACAATGAGATCCAACAGATGGTCTTTCAAGGATTCATTATTTCATCATAATTTGTTGTATAACCTCGCAAATTTTGTCACGGTCCCGTATAGAGTCATTCCTTCTCCCAAAACCATCTTCTAAGCTAAGAAAATAACAATACACATATATTTTATTACAAATAAAAGGATAAAAAAAAAACACTTATAAAATAGTGTGTAGAACAAGTGAAACGATACATGTAATTTATCTTCTGCATTCTTCTTAGTTTAGACATTTGACAATGTACCTTCCTTTAAAGCAACCATGTCCTTAAGGTTGAAGTTTAAAAATCTAAATTTGAAATCATTTGCAAAATCCCAAGTAACATCAATAAAAGAACGAGTTTTTGAGTGAATTAACTAGGTTACAATTGATTTTCTCGTCTATTCACTTTTCAAAAACAAATTATGACTGGAGGTTTTGTTATGGAAGGACACCAAGTAAATAGGTCTGATCAACCTTGTTATCAATATGCTTCTTCCTGTTGATAGAGGTAATTTCAATATGTAAGTCACCATGCTAATCTTTTTCAACATCAAATAAGTCCCATAATACTTTAGTGCTTGTTTTCGTGATCTTCTAGTTGCTACTGATTTCTGTCTATAAGGTTACAACTTTAAATAGATTTGATCCTCGATGTTGAATGTTTTTTTTCACTTTATTTTTTATTTGCTTGTTGGACATTCTATTTTTAACCACCAGTAAATTATTTTTGATTCGATTAAGTATCTTTTTTTTTTTTAAATAAAAAGAGATATTCCACATAATATTTTTTAGGGAGTAGACTAGATTGAAGAATGAATATTAATATTATACCACCATTTAACTATAGATAACCAATTACAACACTAAACATGATTATCACTAGACATGCATTTATGGTAGTTCTCAAGGCATTTATTAACTACCTCACTTTGCCATCAGATTGAGGATGGTAAGCTGTAAAATAGTGTAAATAAACCTTTTGCTGAATGAAATTTTTTTTCCAAAGTTAACTCAAGAACACTAAGTCACTATCACTTACAATAGTAGCTAAAAAACCATGTTATTTGAACACATTATCCATGAAGACCTTAGCCACAAAAGATGCTATATAAGGATGAATTAAGGCCATAAAATAAGCATACTTGCTAAACCTATCATGCACCACAAATATAACCTCTTTACCTCATGACTTGGGCAAACTTTCTATGAAATCCATGCGGATGTTAGTAAGGGTGCTTGTGGAATTGGAAGGGGTTGTAGTAAGCCTAGGGTCAACATATTTTCAGTCTTGTTTTGTTGACAAGTAGGATATTCTCTAACAAACTATTTTGTGTTTTTCTATTGTTTCTTCAAGTAAAATAAGTTTCAAACCCTCTTAACAGTCATTATAGAACCTAAATAACCACTTACAGTTGAGTCATA